TTTACTCAAGTACAAGATCTGAGTACTTCTACTTTTACTCAAGTACAAGATCTGAGTACTTCTACTTTTACTCAAGTACAAGATCTGAGTACTTCTACTTTTACTCAAGTACAAGATCTGAGTACTTCTACTTTTACTCAAGTTACAAGATCTTGAGTACTTCTACTTTTACTCAAGTACACGATCTGAGTACGTCTCTCTCCTGTAATGTGCAATAGATGATTGCACATTACAGGACTTTGAAAACCCTATATTGTTATGAACAGCTAAACCCTGTACTTTGTTGCTTAGTGTTTGGGGTTTGCGCTCCTCCCTTTCAGCCGTGGTTGTGTTCTCATTGGTCTTCGTGTTGATCCTCAGTGTGTGCTTTTCCTCTCTATTGAAGTAGTGTAAATGACCCCTAGGAGTTGTGAGTCAGATGATCCTCTGGACTCAGACTCGTTATTTATTAGTGAAGCTTCTCTCTGCACCAACCAGCCTTCGTCCCATGCACAGGCCATAAGACTGTGATACAGAACATCCATAAACATTCATCTGTTTACATCTTGCAGTTTATGTATCTCTATATCTGTTAGGAAAAACACTGAATGTTCCTTCTGTATCAGAGCAGCACCTGATAGCAGAGGCCCCTACGTAGCTGTGTACGTAGCTGGATGTCTGACTACATGACGCTCATGAGGACACTGTGTTGAAGTTACTATGTTCGGGTTGGTATGATCACACAGCGCCTACACCAGGGATGGGGCAACTTGGATGGTGGTGGGGGCCACATCATGCATTGTACTGGCCACCAGGGGGCGCAGATTCACTTGCAACACACACACACACACTCCATGTGTTGTATGTAATTATTAACAAATGTACTACGTCTGACATCTTCATTGACATTTTACAATCTTTCAGGGCACATCCTCTAATACGCTCACTGAACAAACATCAGTCCACAGAAATGTTATTCAATGTTTACACGTGGCATGTTTGCATTGAACAGGTTATTAAACAGTGGAATAAAACTATTTAAAACTATTGGAAAGTTAATGAGATGAACCATTAAGATGACATACACATGAAGTCATGAACACAAACCAGACATTAGTTGTCTCACTTGAACCCAAGACACTGCCTGTCTCTGCTGACGCACAACAAGGGGAGTGTCCACACAGACACCTGTCAACTCTCTGCTGTTCCTCAGCGCTGCCCCCCCCCCCCCCCCCCCCCCTTGTGAGGGTTTCCCCGGGAAGCAAACACAATACACACAAACGCGTCACAGATTATTTTTGCGGTATTTGGCTGCCGGACGAAATCATGAACGCGCTCGCGACCTCTAGTGGACGGTATCAGCACTACAAGTAAAAACAAAAACAATTTTTTTTATTTTTTTTTATTAATTACGTTGTTTATAAATTAATCTGAGGGCCGCATAAAGAGGAGGTGGGGGCCGCCATTTGCCCATCCCTGCCCTAGAGAGGCATATGACAAGAATGCTTCCTCCATCTTGTGTAACTCCCTCTCTTGGATATCAGCATGTGAAGGACACTGTTCAGGAACTAGCTGATGCTCTGTATGTGATGACTCCTTCCATTCTGGAGAGGATCACAGACACATGGATCCTGAGATGAAGCTCAAGCTGGAGACCAGGGAGAGTTCTCTAACACTATCATATTGACTCTTCTTGCACTATTTGATCTGTTCTATGTCCTATTCATGTTGCTCTGTTGGAGGAGGACTTCAGTTCATTGTATATCTACTGTAGCTGCTATGATGACAAAGACTTGGATTGAATTGCACACACAGGATGGGGTCAGACTGGAAATGTGTTGAAGAGACACTTTGATTTGGTTTGAAGACTTTTCCACTGTTTCAGTCAAATACCCACTAATCCAATGTTTGATCAAGCGCGCACACAGTGGGTTAGACTCATTTGACTGGAGGGGGGGGGGGGGGTGAGAGGGTCCATTTAATGCAGGAAGAAGGAGATTTTAACATTTGTTGTTTAAAGTATCAGTGCATAAACAACCGCACCATTTTTGGTGATTGATTTAGTAACAGGGTTAGTGTCATTGTCTTATATACAATTTTATTTATTTGTTTTAGTTACTTTGGCTCAAGATATACAGAACATTAAAAGAGGTTTGAGGTCATACATTATTTATGCTTTATGTTATTTCTTAATATTTGTTGGGATTTGTTTCTAAATTACAGTCATTTAGTATTTTACATTTATTACATTCTCGTAGATTTATTCTTTTTAGAACCGCAGTCCAATTAATGAAACAGCGGGAATGAGAGGATATGGGGAACATCATTACAGCTCAAACAGTAAGACCTGTTTTACACACACACACACACACACACACACACACACACACACACACACACACTCATTAATCCGGCCTGGAGCTTCAGACGGACTCACAGTCTGTAATCTGGGAGATAATTACAGCTCGGCAACATCTGGACATCTGTACCGCTGCTGATCGCTAACCGCTGCTAACCCTTCATTAGAGAAGCTACACACACACACACACACACACACACACACACACACACACACACACACACGCACGCACGCACACACACACTGCAGCTTCTGCTCTAAATAAAATCAACTGTTTCCGTAAAGAGAGAGAAAGTGTTTCAATACAGAAAATACAACTGTGTGTATGTGTGTGTGTGTGTGTGTGTGTGTGTGCGTGTGTGTGTGTGTGTGTGTGTGTGTGTGTGTGTGTGTGTGTGTGTGTGTGTGTGTGTGTGTATTACGTGTCATGCATAAAAAACTAAAGATACAAATAAATGAATGACATCAATAACAGTTCACAAAGTCAGTGTCAGTATGGAAACACTCACGGATCAGCTGCAGCTAGAGTCCTTCAGTTTCCTAGAGTCCTTCAGTTTCCTAGAGTCCTTCAGTTCCTAGAGTCCTTCAGTTCCTAGAGTCCTTCAGTTTCCTAGAGTCCTTCAGTTCCTAGAGTCCTTCAGTTTCCTAGAGTCCTTCAGTTTCTGTTCTCTCCCTCTCTGCGTGGAGACTTTATCAAAGCAGTGACTCCTCCCCTTCTCTCTCTCCTCTCTCCTCTTTCCTCCGCCTTCCTCTCTCTCTCTCTCTCTCCTCTCTCTCTCTCTCTCTCTCTCTCTCTCTCTTCCTCCCCCCTTCACATGACATGTAATCAGAGAAGAAGTAATCAGATGCTTTACTTAAGTAAAAAGCACATTATTGTCAAAATCCTCCATTCAAAGTCCTGAATTCAATTCATCTCACTTGAGTTAAAGTATGATCACAAAAGTGTACACAAAGTATTTAAATTGAAAGTACTCATTGTGCAGAAGATGGAATATAATAAAATGTATATATGAGACATTTCTAGTATTGTTGCATCACATGTACGAAAACAAAGCTCTATTTGAGTTGTACTCCTTGCACGTGAGTCTGTGAACACAGACACATGTGTGTGATGTTGATGATGCACATTCCTGCAGGGTGAAAGGTGGGTGTGCAAACGGCTGAAGAGCGGAGGGCTTGTGGTTTAATGGTGGGAGTGTTTGGATAATGTCTCAGAGGATTTATGGGTCCGCTCGAAGTGACCCGGACATGTTGAGACCCCAACGTGTACGATAGAAATGTACAGAAGGGTCTCCAGCACATAGAAACCTCAGGATGATAACCTGCAGATGTTGAGTTAAAAACCATTATAGTGGCTGGGCTGACTTGCACAGTTTTGGAGGTCATTGAGGATCCATTTGTCTGACATCAGGATCATAAATGTCAGTTTCAACCTCACAGTGGCCCTACCTGCTCTCTCTGTGGTGATGTGTATTCATTTGGGGTTTACTTTGGAGATTTAGGGGACTCTGGATCATTTGGATTGGACAGGTTGCTTATAGACACAGCAGAGGTAATAATGTTCATCTTGTGCTCTCTATATCCGACACTACATGGTCATAGTCAGTCCACTGAGAGGACAGATGGGCTTTGAATGGCTTTGTATACTGCAGGGTAGCTGGTGGATTTACTCCAGGTGGAACTAAAGTCTGATTCAACACTTGATTAGATTTCACATCATTCATCCACATCTGTGAAGTAACTAAAGGGATTAAATACATGTAGTGGAGTAGAAGTACAAGGTAAGAATAAATACTCAATGCATCTCAATCTGAATCTTTATGTATTTAAATAGCACATTTAAACAACCTCAGTTGACCAAAGTGCTGAACAGGGAACAAATACAATATAGAATAACACAATCATTAAAAACAAGATAAAAAAGCAGAATAACTAAAAACATATAGAGAAATTACAAAATGCCGTGTTCAACTAAAAGCCAGTGCAAAGATGTGTTTTTAGCAGAGATTGAAAACGTTCAAGTACAAGTACATCACACGTGTACTTAAATACAGAACTTAAGTAAATGTACTTAGTTACACCTCTGACAAAAACACATGTGAACAGTAAGTAACAAATGATTACAAGACTGAAATGAGGGCAGGACAGGATTAAATAAAACATTGCATTTAATTGGGAAATACATTCTTAAAAGCAACCGGAATTATTTATTTTTTATTATAGTTTTATTTTAATTGTTTTCCCTATTTAGTTATCGACATCTTTTATTTATTTGCATATTTTTTTATTTTCCTGCCAATCTACTCCTCCACACTCCAGTCCACTAGGTGGCAGTAATGCGCCAATAAACCCCATAGAAGAAGACGAAGAATCTCTCACTTCCTGTTCCGCTGCACACGTGTGTTTGTGTTGCACGAACCTCAGGAACCTTGTCCAGAACCAGAACCAGAACCAGTTGCAGAACCATGCTGCAGGATCTGGGTCTCATCGGGACCCTCCGGGACGAGGACCTGAGCCCCGAGGAGCCCGACACCGAGCCCGAGGAGGAGGTGAGTGAGAGCGGCCTGGAGAGAGGCGAGAGCCCGGGGAGAGGGGCCGGAGAGACACCGCTGGTTCCTCCAGAGGGGCCTCCACTAACCTGTAGATATTTACTGAAACACAATTCAAACAGATCAGCAGAGTAACTGCTAGAGATGGCAAAAGTACACGTGACGCATCCTTGACTCCAGTAGAAGTACAGATACTCGTGTTTAAAAATACTCTGGTGAAAGTAGAAGTACTGACTAAACTTCTTTACTCAAGTAGAAGTAAAGAGGCTTTGAAATGTACTTCCGTAAAAAGTACCCATAGCTAGCAGCTGTTTTAAAGAGTACCTGACCTCCCTTTATATCAATAGAACAATAATGTCATTGTTAGCTAATGAATGTTTCCATGCTGAACAACGGCAACATGACAACGTTTCCATTGGTCCCTCTTCTTTAGAGAAGACCAGGAAATGATGGATACACGGATCGTGTTCAAATCAATAGGCACGCAATGACTCTAAAGAATAATGATCACGCATCAAACACACATTCAGACTAAAGGAACCAGCTGTTTGGGAAATGAGAGAAGTAGAAAGTACAGGTATTTGTGTTCAACATGTAAGAAGTAGAAAGTACAAGTATTTGAGTTCAACATGTAAGAAGTAGAAAGTACAGGTATTTGAGTTCAACATGTGAGAAGTAGAAAGTACAGGTATTTGGGTTCAACATGTAAGAAGTAGAAAGTACAAGTATTTGTGTTCAACATGTAAGAAGTAGAAAGTACAAGTATTTGTGTTCAACATGTAAGAAGTAGAAAGTACAAGTATTTGTGTTCAACATGTAAGAAGTAGAAAGTACAAGTATTTGTGTTCAACATGTAAGAAGTAGAAAGTACAGGTATTTGGGTTCAACAGTAAGAAGTAGAAAGTACAGGTATTTGTGTTCAACATGTAAGAAGTAGAAAGTACAGGTATTTGGGTTCAACATGTAAGAAGTAGAAAGTACAGGTATTTGTGTTCAACATGTGAGAAGTAGAAAGTACAGGTATTTGAGTTCACATGTGAGAAGTAGAAAGTACAGGTATTTGAGTTCAACATGTAAGAAGTAGAAAGTACAGGTATTTGAGTTCAACATGTAAGAAGTAGAAAAGTACAGGTATTGAGTTCAACATGTAGAAGTAGAAGTACAGGTATTTGGGTTCAACATGTAAGAAGTAGAAAGTACAGGTATTTGTGTTCAACATGTAAGAAGTAGAAAGTACAGGTATTTGTGTTCAACATGTAAGAAGTAGAAAGTACAGGTATTTGTGTTCAACATGTGAGAAGTAGAAAGTACAGGTATTTGAGTTCAACATGTAAGAAGTAGAAAGTACAGGTATTTGAGTTCAACATGTAAGAAGTAGAAAGTACAGGTATTTGGGTTCAACATGTAAGAAGTAGAAAGTACAGGTATTTGAGTTCAACATGAAAGAAGTAGAAAGTACAGGTATTTGAGTTCAACATGTAAGAAGTAGAAAGTACAGGTATTTGAGTTCAACATGTAAGAAGTAGAAAGTACAGGTATTTGAGTTCAACATGAAGAAGTAGAAAGTACAGGTATTTGAGTTCAACATGAAAGAAGTAGAAAGTACAGGTATTTGAGTTCAACATGTAAGAAGTAGAAAGTACAGGTATTAGAGTTCAACATGAGAGAAGTAGAAAGTACAGGTATTTGAGTTCAACATGTGAGAAGTAGAAAGTACAGGTATTTGTGTTCAACATGTGAGAAGTAGAAAGTACAGGTATTTGAGTTCAACATGAAAGAAGTAGAAAGTACAGGTATTAGAGTTCAACATGTGAGAAGTAGAAAGTACAGGTATTTGAGTTCAACATGTAAGAAGTAGAAAGTACAGGTATTAGAGTTCAACATGTGAGAAGTAGAAAGTACAGGTATTTGAGTTCAACATGTAAGAAGTAGAAAGTACAGGTATTTGTGTTCAACATGTGAGAAGTAGAAAGTACAGGTATTTGAGTTCAACATGAAAGAAGTAGAAAGTACAGGTATTAGAGTTCAACATGTGAGAAGTAGAAAGTACAGGTATTTGAGTTCAACATGTAAGAAGTAGAAAGTACAGGTATTTGAGTTCAACATGTAAGAAGTAGAAAGTACAGGTATTTGAGTTCAACATGTAAGAAGTAGAAAGTACAGGTATTAGAGTTCAACATGTAAGAAGTAGAAAGTACAGGTATTTGTGTTCAACATGTAAGAAGTAGAAAGTACAGGTATTTGAGTTCAACATGTAAGAAGTAGAAAGTACAGGTATTTGAGTTCAACATGTAAGAAGTAGAAAGTACAGGTATTTGAGTTCAACATGTGAGAAGTAGAAAGTACAGGTATTTGAGTTCAACATGTAAGAAGTAGAAAGTACAGGTATTTGTGTTCAAAATGTAAGAAGTAGAAAGTACAGGTATTTGAGTTCAACATGTAAGAAGTAGAAAGTACAGGTATTTGAGTTCAACATGTAAGAAGTAGAAAGTACAGGTATTTGAGTTCAACATGTAAGAAGTCAAAGTAAAAAGTGGTCAGAAAAATAAGTAGTGGAGTAAAGTACTGATACCAGAAACATTTACTTGAGTACAGTTTGATCCAGAGATCTCACTCTCAGTCCTCCACAAACGAGTTAAAGTTGTCTGCAGGTTCTCTATAGATGTCAAGGTGGAGATATCGTACTGACACGTTAAAGAAAGTTGACATAATCCAATAAAAGGTTAGAAATCAACTGGATCAGCAACATTAAGGAAACTGAATCGTTGTTTGTCCAAAGTAGGGAACAATAATATTGCCTGATAATTTTATACTTATCAGGCAATATTATTGTTCCCATGATGGCAAAGACCCGTCCTACTCAGCATCTGATTGGCTGTGGGTGGAACAACATATACAACTTATATAAAGTGTACTTTATACAACATATAACATAAAGAGTATTAATGGATATGAACTACAATTCATTCAATAAATACAATATATTAACTGTGTGTGTGTGTGTGTGTGTGTGTGTGTGTGTGTGTGTGTGTGTGTGTGTGTGTGTGTGTGTGTGTGTGTGTGTGTGTGTGTGTGTGTGTGTGTGTGTGTGTGTGTGTGTGTGTGTGTGTGTGTGTGTGTGTGTGTGTGTGTGTCAGGATGAGCCGATCATCCTCAACAGGAAGAAGAAGTTGGGAACTCGAGGTGTGAAGGACTTCAACACAAACTTTGAGTTTGGAGAGAGAGACATTCTGACTGACGACAGCTGGGTGATGGCCGACATCCTGAAGCAGATCAAGAACAAGGTAGACCCCAGCAGAACCCTTTGTATCTGCTTATAGAACAAGGTAGAACCCAGCAGAACCCTTGTATCTGCTTATAGAACAAGGTAGAACCCAGCAGAACCCTTGTATCTGCTTATAGAACAAGGTAGACCCCAGCAGAACCCTTGTATCTGCTTATAGAACAAGGTAGACCCCAGCAGAACCCTTTGTATCTGCTTATAGAACAAGGTAGACCCCAGCAGAACCCTTGTATCTGCTTATAGAACAAGGTAGACCCCAGCAGAACCCTTGTATCTGCTTATAGAACAAGGTAGACCCCAGCAGAACCCTTTGTATCTGCTTATAGAACAAGGTAGACCCCAGCAGAACCCTTTGTATCTGCTTATAGAACAAGGTAGAACCCAGCAGAACCCTTTGTATCTGCTTATAGAACAAGGTAGACCCCAGCAGAACCCTTTGTATCTGCTTATAGAACAAGGTAGAACCCAGCAGAACCCTTTTATCTGCTTATAGAACAAGGTAGACCCCAGCAGAACCCTTGCATCTGCTTATAGAACAAGGTAGACCCCAGCAGAACCCTTTGTATCTGCTTATAGAACAAGGTAGACCCCAGCAGAACCCTTTGTATCTGCTTATAGAACAAGGTAGACCCCAGCAGAACCCTTTGTATCTGCTTATAGAACAAGGTAGACCCCAGCAGAACCCTTTTATCTGCTTATAGAACAAGGTAGACCCCAGCAGAACCCTTTGTATCTGCTTATAGAACAAGGTAGACCCCAGCAGAACCCTTTGTATCTGCTTATAGAACAAGGTAGACCCCAGCAGAACCCTTTTATCTGCTTATAGAACAAGGTAGACCCCAGCAGAACCCTTTTAACCCTTTATAAAGAAGAAGATGGAACTCTATCTAAAGTAGAACATGGTTTCCTCTCTTGAGAACCAGGTGTTTCTTGATTTGGTCTCTGGCAGCGTTTTGTTCCTTGATTTTCTTATGTTGTGATCTTGATATAATAATGTTCTCGTTTGGTCTCTAACTCTGTTCTGTGTTTGCAGAGAACCTCTAACTCTGTTCTGTGTTTGCAGAGAACCTCTAACTCTGTTCTGTGTTTGCAGAGAACCTCTAACTCTGTTCTGTGTTTGCAGAGAACCTCTAACTCTGTTCTGTGTTTGCAGAGAACCTCTAACTCTGTTCTGTGTTTGCAGAGAACCTCTAACTCTGTTCTGTGTTTGCAGAGAACCTCTAACTCTGTTCTGTGTTTGCAGAGAACCTCTAACTCTGTTCTGTGTTTGCAGAGAACCTCTAACTCTGTTCTGTGTTGCAGAGAACCTCTAACTCTGTTCTGTGTTCTTCAGAGAACCTCTAACTCTGTTCTGTGTTTGCATTGCAGAGAACCTCTAACTCTGTTCTGTGTTTGCAGAGAACCTCTAACTCTGTTCTGTGTTTGCAGAGAACCTCTAACTCTGTTCTGTGTTTGCAGAGAACCTCTAACTCTGTTCTGTGTTTGCAGAGAACCGCGACGACTCTGGACCAGAAAATAGACAAGATCAGGAAGAAGAGGAAAGCTGAGGTGAGGTCGAGGCACCATTTCCCACAATGCAGAGGGGCACAAGACACACACATTAAGACCTACACACACATTAAGACCTACACACACAACAATGAACCCGGTCTCTCAGCTGAGCGAGGTCAGACAGGAGCAGCAGATCTGGAACAAACCCCTCTCCGGCAGAAACAGGACATGCTGTAACTTTTCATAACAACGCTTTCAAATCAGCATCTCTTGGATTTCAAAGAACAGAAATACAACTCTCAGAATCTTTCATGGCATATCTTTTTGTAAACATATTTTGGTTTTAAAATCTGATGTTTATAAGCTGATGACGTGTTGCAACAGTCCCTGCTTATATAAGATGGACTTTTATTAATCCCTCGTGGCGAAATGTTTTCTCTGCATTCGACCCATCCTGTGTTAGGAGCCGTGGGCTGCCATTTTGAACGTGGCCCGGGGAGCAGTGTGGGGAACGGTGCCTTGCTCAGGGACACCTCGTAGCACTTGGTCTTGCCGGGACTTGAACTGGTGACCTTCCAGTTGCCAAGCCAAGTCCCTATCGACTTCGCCACCACCGCCCTCAATATACACAGCTTTGACCATGACTGGACGTGCAGGGTTTCCCACACAGACCTTACTTGGGCCGGCCGCCAGAGTATCTCAGTTCTTGAATCCGTCCGCGAGCACGAGGCCGTCTGTGATGGATTCACTAGTGGGCAATGATCCCTCGCTCTGCGCCTCCTGATCGTGAAGGGTCTGCTAACAAGAGACCAACAGAAAGGGAGACCTTAGAGAAACAGAGAGACACAAAGCCCCCCCCCCCCCCCCCCCTCGTGCCCGGCTATCACCAGAAGCATATTTCAGATCTGTGGGAAACACTGACACGAGTAAATGATCCTGAGTGAAACAAAGCACACGAGATAACCATGAAGTTGGTGACATCTGTTTGTCGATACAGAGGTCTATCTTGTAGGGAGGTTTATCAGTGGATGTTTGCAGGAACTGTTTGGAAGCAGCTTGATTCCTGAAGGAAACACACACACACAGTGTTTCCTGACACACACACAGTGTTTCCTGACACACACACAGTGTTTCCTGACACACACACAGTGTTTCCTGACACACACACAGTGTTTCCTGACACACACACAGTGTTATGGCACGTTTCCACTGCAGCGGGTAGCTCGCTTTAAGCGTGACGAGCCGTGCGGGGCCCGTTTTTGGTTGCGTTTCCACTTGGCCTAGTTTTGGCCCGGGGCTACTTTTTCACCTTTTTTCTGGCCCGACTAAATGGTGGTTCTAGGGCCAGGAACAACCAGGCTGAGTCGGGCTGAGTATGCTAAACTAGAGAGAGAATCGCTGGCAAGGCGGCTACAACTACAACAAGATGAACATATTTGACCGTGATTTAATTGTAATACACGTTTCAAAATGATGCCGAAGTAACAACATACTGATACCGGTTAGTAAAAACCATGAATTAATACTTTGAGTCTGCAGACAGACGGCAGGCGAACAACCCTTTTAAAATGCGTGTTTTCTAAATGTAGCTTGGCTAAGCTAACGTTATATATGCTCTGACCGTCCACACTCACAACAACGGCCTACAGACATAAATAAAGCAGCGACTGTATTCGCCATGACACAGGCAGTCTGTGGTTTGTACTTGTTTCACTTTTGTCAAGTTTCTGAACAGATATGAAGAGCTGTGAGCTCTGAGTGCTAACAGCTAACGGCTGTGTTGTTTTTCTGGGGCGCTCATTGAAGATGGCGTCACGGCTCCGCCTACACTGCGTTACTATAGTAACTACCTAGGGCTGTGCGATTATGGCAAAAATCATAATCACGATTATTTGGTCAATAATTGATATCACGATTATTTTGACGATTATTCATTGACCATTTATTGAACTTTAAAACAAATAATATTTTACCAACAAGATCAACAATATGTTGGAGCACACTTCCAAAACCATACTAAACATATATTATTAATATGATAAATAAAAATAAATTAGACCAAAATAAATGAAATCCAACATGATGCAGTGCACTGTCACAACCTACTGAACACTCCTTAACATATAGCCAACATGTTGGTAAAACATATTCAACATATTCCACTCAGTTAAACGTTGAAGGCTGGCCAACCGTCATGGTCCAGAGGTAACAGGAAATAAATGTTGAACAACAATTTAAGACCAAATAAAAATGTCTAGGCCACCATGGCAAATGCTGGTAGGACTGCTCGTGTCATCTCTTAAAGATGCTTTGCAAGAAACACCAGGCTGTTGACATGGTCTGGTTTCAGAGATGAGCGCAGGCAGGGGACGATATTGCCACCTGTACTGAAGACCCTCAGCCACGCCCCGACACATGGGGTGACGCCGGCCAATCACAAAGCTTTGATGCGTTCAAGTGCATTATTCTGGCACAGGAAGATTATGTTACAGGACATTAACGATAAAACAGAATATTGTTGTTCTATTTTTAGACACATCTCACGATCGACTGGTTGGGCACCCCTGGGCTAGACCATAGGTCTGTTGTGGTAGCAAAGTAGTCAGCTGAAGCCACATCTCTCTCAACTTCCCCACGGCATTTGTCACATAGCGCAGGCAGCGCAGACCTGCTGAAATAATACCGAGACGGCATCGCGTAACGCTTGTCCAACGTGTTCACAAGTTGCTTAAAGCCCTGGTTGCTAACAGTGCTAACTGGGCACATATCTTTAGCGATGTGGAATGTAAAGGCAAAGTACTTGCAAATAGTGGAAATAGTTTTACCCTTCTTTTTAACGAGTTGCTGCTCTTGTTCTGACATCTTCGCTCGCGCTGAACACTCACAACACATGTCACTCCCACGTGGCCGAGTGGGCTTTTAGGGAGGGGCGAAAGCGCACCCAGCAAATTAATCGTATTTTGTCAATTATGCTGTTTTCATAATCGTCGCAAGCTATAATCGTAATCGCGATTAAAATACGATTAATTGCACAGCCCTATAACTGCCCCAGTTCCTAAACTGTAATGGAAGCGCAGCATTAAAGTGAGCCGGGCCTAATGAGGCCTAACCAAACCGAGCGAGGCCTGCAGTGAAAACGCGCCATTAGTCGGTCAGGTAGAGCAGCAGGTGAAGGACTGATAGCACATTAATAAACACTTAAAGCTATGAGCTACTTTCCGTCCGCAGTGCCTCACATGACGGAGGGGGAGGGTGTAGGGGGCGGTTTGGAATTAGGCCCCATTTCCACTTTCCTACATGTTCAGGTTCCACTTCCTGTGCTTGAGGTTTGATGTGTGTTTTGTTCTCTAGGAGAAAGTGGCTGACGGTGACGCTGCTGAAGGTTCTGCAGAGAAGAACCAGGAGGAGAACGCAGATGAGGAGGAGGAGGAGGAGGAAGATGTGAAGCCTGCTGCCGGAGAGGAGGATGAAGATGTAGCGGATGATGAGGATGAGTTTGATTCAAGCGATGAGATGATTCTGACCAAATCAGGTTAGTGAGTTGAACAGGAAGTGGACGTGTTAATGATCAGATGTCTTCCTTACCACATGAACCAACTTATGAGCACTCGACCTCTACTAGTGAGCGGCCCAGACATTCGTTTATTCTTCTGTATGTGGAAAGGTTTGGACCCCCCCCCGATCGAAACAATCGATCAGTTTCCAGATAATCAGTCAATCAAAAACAACAAACTAAAAATAAATAAATGATATTGAATCTAACATGAACACAAAGTTCTGTTTCTGATGTGCACGTAAAGCGTCTTTGAGCTCGAGGAAGAGCACTCCAATATAATGTAACATATTATTTATTGTTGACTTCCTGTTTCCTGTCAGACACCCTGAGAGACAAAGAGCGCCGGGGGAGGAAGAGGAAGATGGAGGAGGAGGCGGTGAGGAAGATGATGAGGATGATGGGGGGTCAGGTGAGGTTTGCACGTACCATGCTAACAGCTGTTGTGTTTTCAGGCGCCACAGTCGTACTCTGAAGACGCCTCGAAGTTCGACGATTCGCTGACCTTCGAAGACATGAACCTGTCCCGACCAATCCTGAAGGTGAGTCACGTGCACTGCATTCTGGGACATTTTACACATGCACTACATTCAGGAGCCTTTCACACGTGCACTATATTCAAGGAGCCTTTACACGTGCACTATATTCAAGGAGCCTTTTATACGTGCACTATATTCAAGGAGCCTTTACACGTGCACTATATTCAAGGATCCTTTTACACATGCACTATATTCAAGGTGCCTTTAAACGTGCACTATATTCATGGTGCCTTTACACGTGCACTATATTCAAGGATCCTTTACACGTGCACTATATTCAAGGTGCCTTTTACACGTGCACTATATTCAAGGTGCCTTTACACGTGCACTATATTCAAGGTGCCTTTACACGTGCACTATATTCAAGGTGCCTTTACACGTGCACTACATTCAAGGAGCCTTTTACACGTGCACTATATTCAAGGAGCCACGTGCACTATATTCAAGGAGCCTTTACACGTGCACTATATTCAAGGAGCCACGTGCACTATGTTCAAGGAGCCTTTACACGTGCACTATATTCAAGGAGCCTTTTACACGTGCACTATATTCAAGGTGCCTTTACACATGCACTATATTCATGGTGCCTTTACACGTGCACTATATTCAAGGATCCTTTACACGTGCACTATATTCAAGGTGCCTTTTACACGTGCACTATATTCAAGGTGCCTTTACACGTGCACTATATTCAAGGTGCCTTTACACGTGCACTATATTCATGGTGCCTTTACACGTGCACTATATTCAAGGTGCCTTTACACGTGCACTACATTCAAGGAGCCTTTTACACGTGCACTATGTTCAAGGAGCCACGTGCACTATATTCAAGGAGCCTTTACACGTGCACTATATTCAAGGAGCCACGTGCACTATATTCAAGGAGCCTTTACACGTGCACTATATTCAAGGAGCCACGTGCACTATATTCAAGGAGCCTTTACACGTGCACTATATTCAAGGAGCCACGTGCACTATGTTCAAGGAGCCTTTACACGTGCACTATATTCAAGGAGCCTTTTACACGTGCACTATATTCAAGGTGCCTTTACACGTGCACTATATTCATGGTGCCTTTACACGTGCACTATATTCAAGGTGCCTTTACACGTGCACTATATTCAAGGTGCCTTTACACGTGCACTATATTCAAGGTGCCTTTACACGTGCACTATATTCAAGGTGCCTTTACACGTGCACTATATCAGTTTGACTATTTAATGAACAACAGAAACGATTAAACAAAGCGAACAGGAACGATTGAGCAAAACCTCATTAGCCGCTAAAATGTAGGCTATTAAAAAAAAACACGTGTAACATCTGGAGCCCGTTTTTTAAAAAAGGCATCACATTTACCCTAGGCTACCCTTTTTACTTTCTCCTTGCTTTCATTGCGGCAAAGTCCTCTGCTGCAGAGCTGAAATGAAACGTGTCCAAGGTGTCTTTGCAGCTTGCAATACGCATAAGCCGCGTCACTCTCTCCTCCTCCAGACGACTCCGCAGTGATGTCTTGACACGGTTCAGCAAGGAGAAGCCCCTCTCTGCAGGCACGCTTGACACGGGCAGAACACAGGCAATTTTAGCCAGTGTAGCCCAGTCAGGGTACAGCTCGCTGAACTCACACATGAGCACTTTGCAAGCTGTGGCAAAAGTTAAACCCCCATAGCCGTGGAGCGCTGTCATCACTGCCACTGCATCTCGCCGGGCGCGCTTGACATCGATGAGAGGTGCGGCAGCTGATTCAGTCACTTCATGGCCAAAATGTGCAATGACTATTTCAGTGGCGTCTCTGGCATATTCCTGAAACGCTGAAAGGATGTATTATTATTATTATTATTATTATTAGTCGTAGTAGTACTATAGGCGCCGTTTCCTAGTTTATATTCAACAGGAAATGCCACAGCGGTAAATAGTTTTAAAAGTCTCAAAAGTGTACAAACTGGATGGATTTAAATTATTTCGTAAAGGAAGAAATACATCTTAATTAAGGAGCACTGTTGGAGCGAATTTGATGGATATTGGGACGGAATTATTTAATTTGGATGCCCGCTGTATAGGCTACTATAATAGTAGGCGAGCTACTAGCAAGAGATAAAGAGAGTGTCAGGTGCTGCGCAGAAGTTATATATTGTAGAATATGTGCCGATAGGATAAAATGAATATGACCAAGAGAAATGTTGAGAGAATTGCTTACCAGACTGTGCATGGGGGTATCGGGAGGGGTTCAGAAGGATGTCGAGGGAGCTGATGAGATCCAGAGTGTCATCGGGGAATCGGTCTTGTAACGCATTGATGAGATGCTGAATGTACTTTGATCGTACGTTTGTGTGAGCCTGAATGGACCTTTCATTCAGATGTGTCACTTCCACATTTCTATACTTTCCATCTTGGAGATCATTTTGGAATTCCACCTCCTCTGGGCCTAGCTCATCTTTCAGCTGTGTAAGACCTGCGATAGATGCGTGCACAATTGGCCTGATGCTGCCAAGATACCAAACTCAAATTGGTCATCACTGGAAGTACATCAGACAGTGAGTGGGTGAGAGCAATGAAAGAGTACTGCTGGGTATTTCCGTTCACTTTTTCACTGTTCACCTCCATTACCAGAGCAGGCCAGTTGCTTTTAACACTCTGCACTGCGTTATGCAAGGACAGCCAACGGACGGCGCATGGCCGTTTCAAACTAACCATGTCTTCATCGCTTAGGGTCGCTGTCAGCTGAGGGAGGCGATTCGTCCTACTTGCGGAGTGCTTGTAGAATGAATGGATTGTATTCACAGTGCGTCTGTATGCGCTCACCTGACTCACAGCATTTGCAGCATCTACAGCTGCAAGTGCAGCTCGGTGAGCGACACAGTGCACCTGGATCAAGAAGGGATTTACTCTCTTCAAGAGAGCACCAACTCCAGCACGCTTCCCTGTCATCACACTGGCTCCATCCGAGCCCAGGCCCATGACCTTTGATAGCTCAATTCCTCTCCCTCTCAGCACCTCCACCACTTTCTCATATATGCACTGCGCAGTTCCGGAATGCAAGTTGTAATTGCCCAGGAAAAAGTCTTCAATCTTGCCCTTGTTTTCAATCTTGGCATATACGATTAATTTATTTTCCACTGTAATACTGACAGTCTCATCAATGATGATTCCAATGAATTCACTGGCCTTAAGTTTTTCGTCAAGCTGCCTCATAATAACACCCTCCAGTGCCCTCTCCATGTCACACAAGGATTCGCTATGCTTGTAAATGCCGTCATCGGTTCCAAAATCAGGAGCCCCTACTGCCCTCAGTAAATCAGTCATTCCTCTGAACTGGTTACCTGGAATATCATTTTTGGTCATGTGAAACACCACTTTTACTGGGGAATGCAGCTTCTGGCTGCTCTGTTCTTTTGCGCTGTCGATATGACTTTTCATAGCCATTTGTTGTTGTCCTGCGTTAACTGCGAACGTATGGTCTTGGCACTGGCTGTGCTCTGTGAGGGCTGATGCTCTCATGTTGGTTGATCCTCTGGTAAAGCCATTTTTCCTCCCTGACCTAGCACAAAGGGAGCAAAACATTTTTTCCACTCCATCGACACTTTCGCATTGAAGCCATTTGAATTTCTTCTGCCAATCGGCTTTAAAGTGTACTCTCGCCTTCTTCACCGCTGGACCTGCGGTTTCGGATGCTTCATCAGGCACAGAGTCAGACTCAGAGGTAGGCTTATCGACAGGCTTACTGCTATTTTTGAGGAAAAATGTGTGAATGTTGGATTGTTTAGCCATATCTAACTGCGTGCCACGAAGGCAACTGATACATTCCTTCAACGTTTACTAGGCCTATAATAAGTATTACAGAAGCTCGCGAGTGTGTGTAATGTGTATGACGTGTTTGTGTCTAGGTCTATTGTTCGTTTCCCGGGGAAAACTCTCAGAAGAAACACCGGCTGTTGTTATGCCTGCTGTGACGTAAAGTTACTCCGTTCTCCGCTTGTAATTATGCCGCAACAGGAAGTTCCCTGTCAAATCCACGTTTATTTTTTAAATGAGCCGTTGCGACTTCCGACAGATTTCGATAGAGAGGGTCACAAATGTCTAGGGATAGCATACGTTATCTAAGTTTTGTATGAGCATTATTATCGGACATTTTGACTGGCAGGTTTTGAATTTACCGGTTTTTTATAAATGTTACCAGCTAAAAACCGGTAATTACCGGCTAACGGAAACCCTGATTCAAGGAGCCTTTTCCATGTGCACTATATTCAAGGAGCCACATGCACTATATTCAAGGAGCCTTTACACGTGCACTATATTCAAGGAGCTTTTACACGTGCACTAAATTCAGGATTTATTTTACACGTGCACTATATTGCAAGAAAGCCAAAGATGACTCGCTGGTGCAACAGTCTGAGAATCTGAGAGTTACGAGTCGCCCCTGAACGCACCATGCAGTCCTTGTTTGCAAACGAGTTGTTAAATGTTTGTTTGTTCTTCATGTGTCTTGATGTCTGTCCGTTGATGTTACACATGGAGCTGCTGTGAAGCAAGGAGCATTTCAGACCTCATCTGACCCTCTCTCTCTCCCCCTGCAGGCCATCACTGCTTTGGGATTCAAACTACCCACCCCCATCCAGCAGGCCTGCGTCCCGGTGGGTCTGCTGGGGCGAGACCTGTGTGCCTGCGCTGCTACTGGGACAGGTAACACACTCACTGCCATCATGGCTTTATCGTGCAATCGAAGCTTTAAGGTCCCCTATTGTGAAAAATCCACTTCTTCATGTCTCTTCTACATCAACATGTGTCCCCTCTTCTTCATGTCTCTTCTACATCAACATGTGTCCCCTCTTCTCCATGTCTCTTCTACATCAACATGTGTCCCCTCTTCTCCATGTCTCTTCTACATCAACATGTGTCCCCTCTTCTCCATGTCTCTTCTACATCAACATGTGTCCCCTCTTCTCCATGTCTCTTCTACATCAACATGTGTCCCCTCTTCTTCATGTCTCTTCTACATCAACATGTGTCCTCTCTTCTTCATGTCTCTTCTACATCAACATGTGTCCTCTCTTCTCCATGTCTCTTCTACATCAACATGTGTCCCCTCTTCTCCATGTCTCTTCTTCATCAACACGTGTCCCCTCTTCTACATCAACATGTGTCCCCTCTTCTTCATGTCTCTTCTACATCAACATGTGTCCCCTCTTCTTCATGTCTCTTCTACATCAACATGTGTCCCCTCTTCTTCATGTCTCTTCTACATCAACATGTGTCCCCTCTTCTTCATGTCTCTTGTACATCAACATGTGTCCCCTCTTCTTCATGTCTCTTCTACATCAACATGTGTCCCCTCTTCTTCATGTCTCTTCTACATCAACATGTGTCCCCTCTTCTTCATGTCTCTTCTACATCAACATGTGTCCCCTCTTCTTCATGTCTCTTCTACATCAACATGTGTCCCCTCTTCTTCATGTCTCTTCTTCATCAACACGTGTCCCCTCTTCTACATCAACATGTGTCCCCTCTTCTTCATGTCTCTTCTACATCAACATGTGTCCCCTCTTCTTCATGTGTCTTCTACATCAACATGTGTCCCCTCTTCTTCATGTCTCTTCTACATCAACATGTGTCCCCTCTTCTTCATGTCTCTTCTACATCAACATGTGTCCCCTCTTCTTCATGTCTCTTCTACATCAACATGTGTCCCCTCTTCTTCATGTCTCTTCTACATCAACATGTGTCCCCTCTTCTCCATGTCTCTTCTACATCAACATGTGTCCCCTCTTCTTCATGTCTCTTCTACATCAACATGTGTCCCCTCTTCTTCATGTCTCTTCTACATCAACATGTGTCCCCTCTTCTTCATGTCTCTTCTTCATCAACATGTGTCCCCTCTTCTTCATGTCTCTTCTACATCAACATGTGTCCCCTCTTCTTCATGTCTCTTCTACATCAACATGTGTCCCCTCTTCTTCATGTCTCTTCTACATCAACATGTGTCCCCTCTTCTTCATGTCTCTTCTACATCAACATGTGTCCCCTCTTCTTCATGTCTCTTCTACATCAACATGTGTCCCCTCTTCTTCATGTCTCTTCTACATCAACATGTGTCCCCTCTTCTTCATGTCTCTTCTACATCAACATGTGTCCCCTCTTCTTCATGTCTCTTCTACATCAACATGTGTCCCCTCTTCTTCATGTCTCTTCTACATCAACACGTGTCCCCTCTTCTTCATGTCTCTTCTTCATCAACATGTGTCCCCTCTTCTTCATGTCTCTTCTACATCAACATGTGTCCCCTCTTCTTCATGTCTCTTCTACATCAACATGTGTCCCCTCTTCTTCACGTCTCTTCTACATCAACATGTGTCTCCTCTTCTTCATGTCTCTTCTACATCAACATGTGTCCCCTCTTCTTCACGTCTCTTCTACATCAACATGTGTCTCCTCTTCTTCATGTCTCTTCTACATCAACATGTGTCCTCTCTTCTTCATGTCTCTTCTACATCAACATGTGTCCCCTCTTCTTCATGTCTCTTCTACATCAACATGTGTCCCCTCTGTGGAAAGAGACTCTGAAAGTTTCAGGAACAAAGATTCTCTCTCTTTTTGATCCATTTCTATAAAAACCTGTCTGAAAATGAGCTGATCAGATTTTGGCCACCTTATGATGTCATAACGATGTGTTGTCTTGTGTAACCATTAGCCAATCAGCAACAAGGTAACCCCCCCCCCCCCCCTTATCACCTGAATCTCCTCTAGAGCACCATTGAGTTCTTTGTAACCAAATGTCTCTCAGAGGGGCGTGGGGAGGAGCTCCTTGTTTTCATCTGAAGTAACAGACAGAGAATCAGCACTTTGGAAACGGGGCTGAAACAGAGGGGATTATGGGTAATGCTGCAATGATCTGTTTGGTGTTTCAGCCAATCAGAGACAGGCTCTGGATATATCTGAGACCTGTGATATATTGATGAAACACAGTATAACAGGGACCTTTTTAAGTTTGCTTCGTTGGGGAGAGATCCCCGCGAGAGTGCAGAAAACCTTTTTTGGCGCTGACCTAAGAGGGTTAATAACAGCGAACACGATACTTTTGTCTCTCCGCAGGAAAGACGGCGGCCTTCGTCCTGCCCGTGTTGGAGCGCCTGATCTATAAGCCCAGGACGTCCCAGGTGACCCGGGTCCTGATTCTGGTTCCCACCAGAGAGCTGGGGATCCAGGTCCACTCTGTGGCCCGGCAGCTGGCCCAGTTCAGCTCCATCACCACCTGCCTGGCCGTCGGTGCGTTACTCTTTTATTTATTCATTGCCAGGTACGTTAAACAAACAAGCAATTAGCTGTGGTGTCTGGAGGTGCGAACAGAAACAACATAAGAGTAGGAAAAAATATAACGATTATTGTTGGGAAAATACTGAATGTCCTCTTCCAATATGAGAGTAAGGTTTGGAGGGGGGTGCTGGTGCAAGAGAGTCCTCTGGTTCTGACCAAGTGAGTCTTCTGGTTCTGACCAGGTGAGTTCCTCTGGTTCTGACCAGGTGAGTCTTCTGGTTCTGACCAGGTGAGTTCCTCTGGTTCTGACCAGGTGAGTCCTCTGGTTCTGACCAGGTGAGTTCCTCTGGTTCTGACCAAGTGAGTCTTCTGGTTCTGACCAGGTGAGTCTTCTGGTTCTGACCAGGTGAGTCCTCTGGTTCTGACCAGGTGAGTTCCTCTGGTTCTGACCAGGTGAGTCCTCTGGTTCTGACCAGGTGAGTCTTCTGGTTCTGACCAGGTGAGTCCTCTGGTTCTGACCAAGTGAGTCTTCTGGTTCTGACCAGGTGAGTTCCTCTGGTTCTGACCAGGTGAGTTCCTCTGGTTCTGACCAGGTGAGTTCCTCTGGTTCTGACCAGGTGAGTCCTCTGGTTCTGACCAGGTGAGTCCTCTGGTTCTGACCAGGTGAGTTCCTCTGGTTCTGACCAGGTGAGTCCTCTGGTTCTGACCAGGTGAGTTCCTCTGGTTCTGACCAGGTGAGTCCTCTGGTTCTGACCAGGTGAGTTCCTCTGGTTCTGACCAGGTGAGTCCTCTGGTTCTGACCAGGTGAGTTCCTCTGGTTCTGACCAGGTGAGTCCTCTGGTTCTGACCAGGTGAGTTCCTCTGGTTCTGCCCCGGTGAGTCCTCTGGTTCTGACCAGGTGAGTTCTGTGTGCAGGTGGGCTGGACCTGAAGTCTCAGGAGGCGGCTCTGAGGGCGGGGCCAGATATTCTGATCGCTACACCTGGACGTCTGATCGACCATCTGCACAACACGCCCACCTTTGAGCTGAGTCACATCGAGATCCTGATCCTGGACGAGGCCGACAGGTAAGCCTCTCCCCCTGAAATGAAAGCTCCGCCTCCTCTACCTGTGCAGCGTGGAACTCACCTGTCGGTTCTCCGGTTTCTCAGAATGCTGGATGAGTACTTCGAGGAGCAGATGAAGGAAATCATCCGACTGTGTGCCCACAACCGACAGACCATGTTGTTCTCCGCCACCATGACCGAGGAGGTGAGTCATGTGATGCTCTGAGTCATGTGACCTGTTTCTGTGAGTCATGTGACCTGTTTCTGTGAGTCATGTGACCTGTTTCTGTGAGTCATGTGACCTGTTTCTGTGTGTCATGTGACCTGTTTCTGTGTGTCATGTTACCTGTTTCTGTGTGTCATGTTACCCGTGTCTGCAAGTGTTTCTGTGTGTGTCATGTGACTTGTTTCTGTTTGTCATGTGACCTAGGTGTCTGCAGGTGTTTCTGTGTCATGTGACCTGTGTTTCAGTGAGTCATGTGACTTCTGTTTCCAGGTGAAAGAGCTGGCGGCGGTCTCGCTGAATAAGCCAATCAGGATCTTCGTTAACAGCAACACTGACGTCGCTCCGTTTCTGAGACAAGAGTTCGTCCGAATCCGACAAAACAGAGAAGGAGACCGAGAGGCTGTGGTGGCTGGTGGGTACTCATAATACTGAGAATACTGCAGTACTGACACTGTACTCGTACCTCAGTACTTACCTGAGTACTCACCTGTGTGTTTCAGCCCTGCTCACGCGCACCTTCCAGGACCACGTGATGTGCTTCACTCAGACCAGGAAGCAGGCGCACAGACTGCACATCCTGCTGGGCCTGATGGGCCTGAAGGTGGGAGAACTGCACGGAGAACTGAGCCAGAACCAGAGGCTGGAGAACCTCAGGTACCTGAACCTCACTTCAGCTGAACCTAATACCTGTACCTACTCTGTGGATTAGTTACCTCCCTGTCAGTAACCTGTGGTTTAGTTACCTCCCTGTCGGTAACCTGTAGATTAGTTACCTCCCTGTCGGTAACCTGTGGATTAGTTACCTCCCTGTTAGTAACCTGTGGATTAGTTACCTCCCTGTTAGTAACCTGTGGATTAGTTACCTCCCCGTTAGTAACCTGTGGATTAGTTACCTCCCTGTTAGTAACCTGTGGATTAGTTACCTGCCTGTCAGTAACCTGTGGATTAGTTACCTCCCTGTCAGTAACCTGTGGATTAGTTACCTCCCTGTCAGTAACCTGTGGATTAGTTACCTCCCTGTCAGTAACCTGTGGATTAGTTACCTCCCTGTCAGTAACCTGTGGATTAGTTACCTCCCTGTCAGTAACCTGTGGATTAGTTACCTCCCTGTCAGTAACCTGTGGATTAGTTACCTCCCCGTTAGTAACCTGTGGATTAGTTACCTGCCTGTCAGTAACCTGTGGATTAGTTACCTCCCTGTTAGTAACCTGTGGATTAGTTACCTCCCTGTCAGTAACCTGTGGATTAGTTACCTCCCTGTTAGTAACCTGTGGATTAGTTACCCTCCCTGTTAGTAACCTGTGGATTAGTTACCTCCCCGTTAGTAACCTGTGGATTAGTTACCTCCCTGTTAGTAACCTGTGGATTAGTTACCTCCCTGTCAGTAACCTGTGGATTAGTTACCTCCCTGTCAGTAACCTGTGGATTAGTTACCTCCCTGTCAGTAACCTGTGGATTAGTTACCTCCCTGTCAGTAACCTGTGGATTAGTTACCTCCCTGTCAGTAACCTGTGGATTAGTTACCTCCCTGTCAGTAACCTGTGGATTAGTTACCTCCCCGTTAGTAACCTGTGGATTAGTTACCTGCCTGTCAGTAACCTGTGGATTAGTTACCTCCCCGTTAGTAACCTGTGGATTAGTTACCTCCCTGTTAGTAACCTGTGGATTAGTTACCTCCCTGTTAGTAACCTGTGGATTAGTTGCCTCCCTGTCAGTAACCTGTGGATTAGTTACCTCCCTGTCAGTAACCTGTGGATTAGTTACCTCCCCGTTAGTAACCTGTGGATTAGTTACCTCCCTGTCAGTAACCTGTGGATTAGTTACCTCCCCGTTAGTAACCTGTGGATTAGTTACCTCCCTGTTAGTAACCTGTGGATTAGTTACCTCCCTGTTAGTAACCTGTGGATTAGTTACCTCCCTGTTAGTAACCTGTGGATTAGTTACCTCCCTGTTAGTAACCTGTGGATTAGTTACCTCCCTGTCAGTAACCTGTGGATTAGTTACCTCCCTGTTAGTAACCTGTGGATTAGTTACCTCTCTGTTAGTAACCTGTGGATTAGTTACCTCCCCGTTAGTAACCTGTGGATTAGTTACCTCTCTGTTAGTAACCTGTGGATTAGTTACCTCCCTGTCAGTAACCTGTGGATTAGTTACCTCCCTGTCAGTAACCTGTGGATTAGTTACCTCCCTGTCAGTAACCTGTGGATTAGTTACCTCCCTGTCAGTAACCTGTGGATTAGTTACCTCCCTGTCAGTAACCCTGTGGATTAGTTACCTCCCTGTCAGTAACCTGTGGATTAGTTACCTCCCCGTTAGTAACCTGTGGATTAGTTACCTGCCTGTCAAGTAACCTGTGGATTAGTTACCTCCCCGTTAGTAACCTGTGGATTAGTTACCATCCCCTGTAGTAACCTGTGGATTAGTTTGCCTCCCTGTCAGTAACCTGTGGATTAGTTACCTCCCTGTCAGTAACCTGTGGATTAGTTACCTCCCCGTTAGTAACCTGTGGATTAGTTACCTCCCTGTCAGTACCTGTGGATTAGTTACCTCCCCGTTAGTAACCTGTGGATTAGTTACCTCCCTGTTAGTAACCTGTGGATTAGTTACCTCCCCGTTAGTAACCTGTGGATAGTTACCTCCTGTTAGTAACCTGTGGATTAGTTACCTGCCTGTCAGTAACCTGTGGATTAGTTACCTCCCCGTTAGTAACCTGTGGATTAGTTACCTGCCTGTCAGTAACCTGTGGATTAGTTACCTCCCTGTTAGTAACCTGTGGATTAGTTACCTGCCTGTCAGTAACCTGTGGATTAGTTACCTCCCCGTTAGTAACCTGTGGATTAGTTACCTCCCTGTCAGTAACCTGTGGATTAGTTACCTCCCTGTCAGTAACCTGTGGATTAGTTACCTCCCTGTCAGTAACCTGTGGATTAGTTACCTCCCTGTCAGTAACCTGTGGATTAGTTACCTCCCTGTCAGTAACCTGTGGATTAGTTACCTCCCTGTCAGTAACCTGTGGATTAGTTACCTCCCTGTGACTAACCTGTGGATTAGTTACCTCCCTGTTAGTAACCTGTGGATTAGTTACCTCCCTGTTAGTAACCTGTGGATTAGTTACCTCCCTGTTAGTAACCTGTGGATTAGTTACCTCCCTGTTAGTAACCTGTGGATTAGTTGCCTCCCTGTCGGTAACCTGTGGATTAGTTACCTCCCCGTTAGTAACCTGTGGATTAGTTACCTCCCTGTTAGTAACCTCTGGATTAGTTACCTCCCTGTCAGTAACCTGTGGATTAGTTACCTCCCTGTGACTAACCTGTGGATTAGTTACCTCCCTGTCAGTAACCTGTGGATTAGTTACCTCCCTGTGACTAACCTGTGGATTAGTTGCCTCCCTGTCAGTAACCTGTGGATTAGTTACCTCCCCGTTAGTAACCTCTGGATTAGTTACCTCCCTGTCAGTAACCTGTGGATTAGTTACCTCCCTGTGACTAACCTGTGGATTAGTTGCCTCCCTGTCAGTAACCTGTGGATTAGTTACCTCCCCGTTAGTAACCTGTGGATTAGTTACCTCCCTGTTAGTAACCTGTGGATTAGTTACCTCCCTCTCAGTAACCTGTGGATTAGTTACCTCCCTGTCAGTAACCTGTGGATTAGTTACCTCCCTGTTAGTAACCTGTGGATTAGTTACCTCCCTGTCAGTAACCTGTGGATTAGTTACCTCCCTGTTAGTAACCTGTGGATTAGTTACCTCCCTGTGACTAACCTGTGGATTAGTTACCTCCCTGTGACTAACCTGTGGATTAGTTACCTCCCTGTTAGTAACCTGTGGATTAGTTACCTCCCTGTTAGTAACCTGTGGATTAGTTACCTCCCTGTTAGTAACCTGTGGATTAGTTACCTCCCTGTTAGTAACCTCTGGATTAGTTACCTCCCTGTTAGTAACCTGTGGATTAGTTACCTCCCTGTTAGTAACCTGTGGATTAGTTACCTCCCTGTTAGTAACCTGTGGATTAGTTACCTCCCTGTTAGTAACCTGTGGTTTAGTTGCCTCCCTGTCGGTAACCTGTGGATTAGTTACCTCCCTGTTAGTAACCTGTGGATTAGTTACCTCCCTGTTAGTAACCTGTGGATTAGTTACCTCCCTGTTAGTAACCTGTGGATTAGTTACCTCCCTGTCGGTAACCTGTGGATTAGTTACCTCCCTGTTAGTAACCTGCAGATTAGTTACCTCCCTGTTAGTAACCTGTGGATTAGTTACCTCCCTGTTAGTAACCTTTGGATTAGTTACCTCCCTGTTAGTAACCTGTGGTTTAGTTACCTCCCTGTTAGTAACCTGTGGATTAGTTACCTCCCTGTTAGTAACTTGTGGATTAGTTACCTCCCTGTTAGTAACCTGTGGATTAGTTACCTCCCTGTTAGTAACCTGTGGTTTAGTTACCTCCCTGTCAGTAACCTGTGGTTTAGTTACCTCCCTGTTAGTAACCTGTGGTTTAGTTGCCTCCCTGTCGGTAACCTGTGGATTAGTTACCTCCCTGTCAGTAACCTGTAGATTAGTTACCTCCCTGTCAGTAACCTGTGGATTAGTTACCTCCCTGTTAGTAACCTGTAGATTAGTTACCTCCCTGTCGGTAACCTGTGGTTTAGTTACCTCCCTGTCGGTAACCTGTATATGAGTTACCTCCCTGTTAGTAACCTGTGGATTAGTTACCTCCCTGTCAGTAACCTGTATATTATTTACCTCCCTGTCGGTAACCTGTGGATTAGTTACATCCCTGTCGGTAACCTGTGGATTAGTTACCTCCCTGTGACTAACCTGTGGATTAGTTAACTCCCTGTGACTAACCTGTGGATTAGTTACCTCCCTGTCGGTAACCTGTATATTAGTTACCTCCCTGTCGGTAACCTGTGGATTAGTTACATCCCTGTCGGTAACCTGTGGATTAGTTACCTCCCTGTCAGTAACCTGTGGATTAGTTACCTCCCTGTCGGTAACCTGTGGATTAGTTACCTCCCTGTTAGTAACCTGTGGATTAGTTACCTCCCTGTGACTAACCTGTGGATTAGTTACCTCCCTGTGACTAACCTGTGTATTAGTTACCTCCCTGTCAGTAACCTGTGGATTAGTTACCTCCCTGTCGGTAACCTGTGGATTAGTTACCTCCCTGTTAGTAACCTGTGGATTAGTTACCTCCCTGTTAGTAACCTGTGTATTAGTTACCTCCCTGTCGGTAACCTGTGGATTAGTTACCTCCCTGTTAGTAACCTGTGGATTAGTTACCTCCCTGTTAGTAACCTGTGTATTAGTTACCTCCCTGTCGGTAACCTGTGGATTAGTTACCTCCCTGTTAGTAACCTGTGTATTAGTTACCTCCCTGTCGGTAACCTGTGGATTAGTTACCTCCCTGTTAGTAACCTGTGGATTAGTTACCTCCCTGTTAGTAACCTGTGTATTAGTTACCTCCCTGTCGGTAACCTGTGGATTAGTTACCTCCCTGTCAGTAACCTGTGGATTAGTTACCTCCCTGTTAGTAACCTGTGGATTAGTTACCTCCCTGTCGGTAACCTGTGGATTAGTTACCTCCCTGTTAGTAACCTGTGGATTAGTTACCTCCCTGTTAGTAACTTGTGGATTAGTTACCTGCCTGTCAGTAACCTGTGGATTAGTTACCTCCCCGTTAGTAACCTGTGGATTAGTTACCTCCCCGTTAGTAACCTGTGGATTAGTTACCTCCCTGTTAGTAACCTGTGGATTAGTTACCTGCCTGTGACTAACCTGTGGATTAGTTACCTCCCTGTCAGTAACCTGTGGATTAGTTACCTCCCTGTTAGTAACCTGTGGATTAGTTACCTCCCTGTTAGTAACCTGTGGATTAGTTACCTCCCTGTTAGTAACCTGTGGATTAGTTACCTCCCTGTTAGTAACCTCTGGATTAGTTACCTCCCTGTCGGTAACCTGTGGATTAGTGACCTCCCAGTTAGTAACCTGTGGATTAGTTACCCCCCTGTTAGTAACCTGTGGATTAGTTACCTGCCTGTCAGTAACCTGTGGATTAGTTACCTCCCTGTTAGTAACCTGTGGATTAGTTACCTCCCTGTTAGTAACCTGTGGATTAGTTACCTCCCTGTTAGTAACCTGTGGATTAGTTACCTCCCTGTTAGTAACCTCTGGATTAGTTACCTCCCTGTCGGTAACCTGTGGATTAGTTACCTCCCTGTTAGTAACCTGTGGATTAGTTACCTCCCTGTTAGTAACCTGTGGATTAGTTACCTCCCTGTTAGTAACCTGTGGATTAGTTACCTCCCTGTCAGTAACCTGTGGATTAGTTACCTCCCTGTCAGTAACCTGTGGATTAGTTGCCTCCCTGTCAGTAACCTGTGGATTAGTTGCCTCCCTGTCAGTAACCTGTGGATTAGTTACCTCCCTGTTAGTAACCTGTGGATTTGTTACCTCCCTGTCGGTAACCTGTAGATTAGTTACCTCCCTGTTAGTAACCTGTGGATTAGTTACCTCCCTGTTAGTAACCTGTGGATTAGTTACCTCCCTGTCGGTAACCTGTGGATTAGTTACCTCCCTGTTAGTAACCTGTGGATTAGTTACCTCCCTGTCAGTAACCTGTGGATTAGTTGCCTCCCTGTCAGTAACCTGTGGATTAGTTACCTCCCTGTTAGTAACCTGTGGATTTGTTACCTCCCTGTGGGGAACCTGTGGAACAGTTACCTGTCTGTTGGTTACCTATCGATTAGTCACCTGTGGATATGTTTAGTTCATTTGTTTATAGTGTTACAGCCTGGCTCATAGGCTGCAACAAAGATCGGAGACTAGACAAGTTAAGTGTAACAAAAAGCATATTTATTTACAATACCACAAAAACCAAAGGTCTTCAAAGAAACCTAATAAATGTGGAAGTCAGTTATCAGTAATGGTTGCGTGTATGGGTGTGTGAAAATGTGCAGAAACAAAGACGCGGCCGTGTCCAACAGAAGAGTGAGAGGGCAGTATGGGTTGGTGTTTTATGTAGACGGCCCAGGTGTGGCTCATCAGGTTGATCACCTGAAACACAAACAAGAGCCAGCAAGCAGAACACAAAGACAGAGACCTCTAGTGGAGTGGAGGGGGTTGTAACAATAGTGTCGTGGTTTACCTCCCTGTTAGTTACCTGTGGATTAGTTACCTCCACCAAAGAGGTCATATTTACGTTTTGTCGGCAGGATTACAGAAGACGTTCCTATTTTCCTGAGTCTTGGCGACAGGCGGAGGAACACGTTATACTTCAGATCTGAGCCACATGGCAGATATTAATGTTTCACTTCGTTGACTTTGAAAGCTGTGTAACTGTGTGTTGGTTCTCTCGTTCTCCAGGCGGTTTAAAGACGATCAGATTGATATCTTGGTGGCGACAGACGTGGCAGCTCGAGGTCTGGATATCGATGGAGTGAAAACGGTGAGTCTCTTCCTTTAGTTTCTCTACGGTGAAGACTAGGGATGTAACGATACCAAAAACTCACGATAATATCGCGGTAAAAAGTCCACGGTACGACATTTATCGCAATATTGAAAAATAAAGGGAAAGAAATGTGAATTTGTTTTTTTTACTTGAATTTTTTTTCTTTATTAAATAATACATCTGATTTGTACAGCATTTTATAGGATAGTAGTCCTTTCAAGTGTCAACAATATAATAATCAGACCCTGCAATAGAATAAATCAAGTTTCACTTTAGTTTTTCAAGTAACTCAACTCTAACTCTCTCACTCACTCACTCACTCACTCACTCAGCGTCATCAAGGTTATCTTTTAGGAATATGAGCATGTCCACATTTCCAGGTAGGAGCTGGGATGTTAGGGCGTTTACAAAATCCCCTGCTGTGGAAACAACTCTCTCGCTTGGTACTGATGTTGCTGGGACAGAGAGATATGCTTTGGCCATGGGTGACAGCAGTGGGTGAAACTGTGCATTGTCTCTCCACCACTTCAAACACAATACAATTGTCACCAAGAAGGTGAGGCTTATTGACAGAGATATAAATATACTGTTGGTACTTGTCAATGTCTCTAGGTATGTACATTAGCCCTGTAAATACGATGTCCTTTTGTGTTCTGTTGTTTTATGTTCATGTTGTAACCTACTTGCTGCCATGTTGGACAGGTCTCCCTTGAAAAAGAGATCGATGATCTCAATGGGACCAACTGGTTAAATAAAGGTTTAAAAATCGCGGTATATTTTGTCAGTCTCACGACGGTATTGAGACATTTCTTTATCGCGATATTCGATATATCGTTACATCCCTAGTGAAGACACCCAGAGCTGCATTTAGGTCTGTTGGCAGCTCGGAGAGTCCTGTAGTGCAGTGGTTCTCAACCCGTTTCGAGTGGGTCGCAGATGTGAGTATTTTTATTTTGAAGGCCTGATTTTCTAACGCTGTGCATGCAGTCGGTGTTGGACTGGAAGTACCGGAGACCATAAACGGTTTTGAAAACGTCTGTCACGTAGTGATCATCTTCTCAATAAAACATCTTTGCTGATGTCTTCTGGCCAATCAGAATCTAGAGTGTTGCCGGAAGTCCCCACGGAGAATAACTTTGCGGTAGAACTATTCTTTATACAACTTCAGATGAACACATAATGAAATATGACCCCCAGTCTGATGATTGACAGGTCACAGAACAATGGGGGCTATTTATCTCCCCTTACCCACAAAGTAATTCACACAGACCCTCTCCTCTTTGCTCTTCTCTCTGTGAGGAGCAGCAAGCTGTCAGAACAAAGTGAAAAACAAACAATGGCATAAAATATTATTAAAATGTCGGGTAATAATAGATTTATTTATTTTCTTCTGTGTACCCGGATGCGTAGTTTATATGTTAGTATTTCTAAAACTCTCCTGGGGGAGAATCCCCCCAGACCCCCTGCTGGGGTTGGGTTTTCAGCATGTGTACCTTTTTATATAGTTCAGCTTTGATTCCATCATCTCATTAAACCTTTTTTAAAAGCATACTTTTAGTTCTATGAAGTTAGTTTCTGATTGGCTGGGCAAATTGCAAACCACGGCCCATAAAACTCGGAACAGTTTTGTGAAGCCGCCATTGTATTTGCTGGCATTAGCATTATTAGCATTAGCCCCGCGCATCAACGGAGAGAGAATAACTGAACTAAAGAGCAGATCGTGTTCACACCGGAATAAGTCCCTGGGGGTGGATTAGGTAAATGAAGCCGCTGATGTCACTTCGTCTTCTTCTGCTTTGGGTTTACTGGCAGGCCGCAAACCACTTCACGGCGTATACTGCCGCCCGAAGTCCCCGGAGTTGGGGAAGGCTTCAGTAGAAGCTGCTGGGAGTCCCAGCAGCTTCTACTGAAGCCTTCCGAGTAAATCGCCAGAACGCCGACACCTCCTCATCTCCACTGCTCCCATGTTTTTTTTTGTGTTGCCATAAGTTAGTCTCTCTGCGTTGGTGCGCTGGGCTAATGCTAATAATGCTAATACCAGCAAATACAATGGCGGCTTCACAAAACTTTTCCGAGTTTTACGGGGCGTGGTTTGCAATCCGCCCAGCCAATCAGAAATGGGAACCTTTTTCTCCCATGATAGTACCACCTCTCTAGCAGGGACTGAAAAGGGGGTGAAAATGAACTCATGAACTAAGTTCTAGTATTTTTTTGGTGTGAACGCACAATTTCAAGAACTATCGGAACTATACTGGGAAAAGTACTCCGGTGTGAAAGCGCCTGATTAAACCCCAACTTAATCAACATTTAAAAAAAGAGTACAAATAAGGCCTTTTTCTGGTTAAAACTGCCATTTTCTTTTTATCCTGAAAATGCCAGAAATATATTCAACATCCTCAATTACCTCAGTAACATCCGAAACCACACCAAAAGTTTCAAAATCGCCAATCCATTTTGTAACTATTGTAGATTTTAATGATAATTAATGCAACTTGTGCTAATTATGCAAATTACCCAACATATGATGGTTAGCATTCGAAAATGTCTTTGAGCTGGGGACCCTACTATAAAACTTCAAACTGCTGTCAACTAGACGAGAGAGTGAAGCTTTGTCTTTAATTGTTGACACATAAGAACAATGTCCCTGTCTCCCTCTCTGTGTCTGTCTCTCAGGTGATAAACTTCACCATGCCGTCCACACCGAAGCACTACGTCCATCGGGTGGGTCGCACAGCCAGAGCCGGGAAGTCCGGACGCTCCGTGTCTCTGGTGGGAGAATCTGAGAGGAGGATCCTCAAGGAGGTCGTCAAATCAGCCAAGAACAGCGTGAAGGCCAGAGTCCTGCCACCAGGTGAGAGAGAGGGAGAGAGGAGAGACACAGGGGA